CTAACTTCACATAGGTGTCATTATGAATAATTATGTTGTAATCTCAACAAGTTTAGTGAAAATAACTTTTTATTTAGTGCGTGGGTATAAATTAAACAATTTGAGGTTAGGATTTAATACGAGAAAATACATGGTTAACATTGCTTGTGTTGTCAGTTGTAATTGTCATTTGGTTAAATACACAGTTTGTTGCTATCGTCACACGGATTATTTATTTATTTTTATTTTGTAAGCATGTCTTTTTTAATAACTATTTTAATTTAACTAAACTACTATTAAATAAGCTACTATACTTATTTATCATTTATATTTACAACATAAAGATATTTCAGCTTTCAGTCATTTGACAGATCAATTGATACACAATCTATTAACACAAAGTCTATTAATACACATTTGGTAGAAACAATTCTATCTAACGACATTTAATTGTCGTTCTGCATCGATAGCCTAAGAAACAAGGTTTTCATCCGAAAATATGTTGTAATCTCAACAAGTTAATACGAAAATGCAATTTTAACATTGCTTTGAACTTCCAAAAAGAAACGTCAAATCGCAACTTTAAAGTGATTTTTCGGTAAGTACTACACTTTTCCGCACTTTTTTTTTATCATTTATGCCTCTTTTGACTCATTTTCTATCAATTAATAAAAAAATCATCGATTTTTAAGAGAGACTCCTAATCTTGAATTATTCCCAGATTCATGACAACGCTCACAAGACGTTTCGATTTGAGGTTATAATTATAGAGTGACATCCCTTAGAAGAACAGACGTACTTTTTCGACGTGGCCATTTGAATTGTACAGCAGACATATTAAACTAATGCTATCTCTTTCCAACACACATTACTCTCTAGCGGTTTGTGAACTACGTATGGCATTTGTAAGAGCAGAAAATGATGATTTACTGCCAGCTCTCGTGGCGTCTACTATAACAACCAAAACCGCAGTAATATCTGGTTGCTTACGGGACGTCATATGGCGAAACAAACACATGACGATAAAAAGCAAAGTAAGAATCTATAAAACCTGTGTAAGACCACTGCTAACATACGGAGTTGACATCAACAATCAAATAAGTCATGAGAGCCACATAGATGAGAACCCTAAGAAATTGGCTTAAGCTCGCGTAACAGGCTAAGAAGCGAGAGGATCCGGGAGATGTGCGAGGTACAGAATGTGGTTTGTCTAGGAGAAGTTACTGAAGAGATCATGTTGAAAAGGTAGATGGGGAAAGATTGGTAAAGAAAATCCAAACTCAAAAACTAGACACCAGGCGACTCTCAAGAAGACCACGTAAATGCTGGCATGAGAGTTAAACGTCGTCATCTCAAAATAACCCATAGGAACGGAAGTAGAATAGAGAAGAGGAGAAATGGAAAAAACAGGGCTAGTCCCTAAAGTAAAAAGCCATTCATTTGTCATTCAAATCATTGAAGTAGTCTTTTATCTAGTAGGTATTTTGATTGCAGCATCATTAGCATTATCTAGTTTCTATTAGATCAGTATCTCAGTAGAATTCTGTAACCAGTATTTAGCCTTCTACTTATCAAATCTTTTGCTACCAGTCGACTTCAATTAGCCGTACGTGGTCTTTTGCTAGCATTATATCACCTTATATCAGTATTATCTAGTTTTCTGTTAACGTTATTTGATGTACTGCAAACACTATGTAGTACTTTATCAAAAAATCAGAATGTGAGCGAATGAAATTAATCAGATTTTTCTCGACTCTCTGTTTTAATCTATATCATGTTTTAGAGAAAGCGATGTTATCAAAAATTATTGAAAATGCCCTTCCTGCGTGGTTCCATGAATTATCTAACCAACAACTAGATAGTGTGGATCTTTTATACAAAGCCATATTAAGAGATTTACATTACCACACGATTTGTAACGTTCAAGATGTTATAGCAAAAATTGGATTGGTTTTAAGACCGAATCATTTATATGTTGAAAAAGCTTTAAAACTTTGCTGCAAGTGTCCTATTAGATTCTTGACGCTGATTTATCTCTATAGAAGAAAAAAACGACAGGAAGAATGTAACTAAATCTTAATTTTATTGATACGAATTAATTGTTTTTTGTTCTAATTTAAGGCATAGATTACGATCTTAACGATAAAATATTATTATCTTCAATCGTTCACTTGGTGTTACCAATGATATTAAAAGAAATGCATATCAGAATCCCATCACCCCCACCTAAAGAACCTTTACCACCTCAACCCGAACCGCCGAAGCCAAAAAAGAAAAAGTATGACTCCCCATATTTAGAACCATACACATTTAAAAGGGATCCACCACGTACAGGTGTTTATAAAAATAATCACGTTCAATATCCGGAGAGTCCTTACTTTATATATTTAAGAGAATACGTAAGTTTATATTTTTTGCGTTAAAACGCATTAAATTTTAATTTTTTTTAAGTATCTTGAGATGTATATAAACCAATTAGGGGATGAAGAAGACTTAAAAAGTAGATCGCGTAAACGCAAACGGAAACGTCCAAATTACGAAAATCTCTCTCCGATTGAAATTGAATTGAATCACGAACGGGATGGTGCCCAACGAGAATACGATGAGTTATTCGAAGGAATGGCAACACCCCGGTTATTAAGGGCCAACGTATTTCCAAAATGCATAATAGTACGTCCGGAAGTGGAAGTTTCAATTCACGAAGAAAGCTACATCGAAGAGCAGGAACATAGCGAAGTTGAAGCTCCCCAACCCGATCAACCTAGTCCACCTGATGATGCAGCACAAGATGATAATGTGCAACAAGATGTTATTGATGAATCTTACGAAGGAGAAGGTGAATCTTACGAGGAAAGTAGCGAATTTGCTACGATTGATATGGCAGGATATTGCCGGGATCATCCATGTTGTAAAACTAAAAAGATATATCGGCTTCCATTAAGTAAAGAGAAAGGTTGTGGGAAGATGGAGAAAAAGAATGTTGATACAAAGAAAAAAGGAAAACAAAAATATAATACCGATCTTGACGATGATTTCGAAGATTACGGCACCGAAAGTTATACTGATTACGATTCAGACGCTTTACCCGATTTATCACCAGAAGAAAATTATCCCATGTATGCAAATGTGGTGCCAATTTGCGGTGGAATAGTTTATCACCCAGTGTATAAGTGGGTACCAATCATAACAGGAATAATAGCCCCGGATGTTACTTGCGGATGTAACGTTGAGCCACCACCAAAAAGCTCCAAAGAATCCATAGAACTGTTTAGACGACGAAAACCGGGGAAGGTACAAACCGGGGAATGTACTTGTATAGAACTCTTTCTTAAACGCCAAAAAAAAGAAAAGGAGTATCAAAAATTTAGGAAAGAAGTAAGAAAGCTTTGTACTTGCAAAATTTGTATGTGTAAAGACCGAATCCCAAGAACTCCATCACCGGTACCGAGTGTCCCCAGTTTTATCCCACCAAGCGACGATGTTTACCCAAAACCAATCCCGAGCAAACTAGTTGAAATCGTTGAACCACCCCCATTCGAATGCGAATGCAAAAACATCGTTCAACAACGATTAAGTCACATGCAACACGTTGAGAACGAAGTTGAAGATAACAGAAAACGTTCTTATTTTATAGCCGACACCACCGACGATGGAAAAAAAATTATAGGTGCTATTAAAGCCCCGAAACCGTGTCGCTGCTTGGAAAAGTACCAAGCGAGAGTCGAACGATTTGAAAGGGAGAAACGTATCGAGTTTATCCAAAGAGCTTTGAAAAATACCAAGAAAGTATTTTTCTTCGGTGGCATTAAATTGGACGCGGATGGAAAACCAATATATATGATCGCTGGAGTTGCCGGTGCAAAACCTTGCGGGAAATGCGTTGAAACTAAAATAGAAGAAGTTAGAGAGGAACAACGTAAAGCTGAAATGCCGGTAAATTTTCTAAATTAATTAAATTTGTTTTATATAGAATTCCTATTTCGATAACTGATTCTCTATTCCTCCATTCCTCTTGCGGTAAGACTCATGGTCTGTCTGATCCCTGGATAAAGCAGGGAGTCCAGGATGTATTTGGACATCGTCATCACAACATATTACACAGTACACCATATTAACTGTTTGGTTTCCTCATTTGGGACATGTTCCAGTCTTGATACTCTGCATGCTCTTTTTAGAAAGTCTATTTTCAACGTTTCAAGCTGTTTCCTGTTTTTTGTCACTATTCTGGCCGTCACTGTTTAGCCGTCTTGAAAGACGTGCGGCTAAACCCGAATGTTTCTAGTTCTAAGTCTAGTGTTAGTTCTAGTTTTGTTATTCAACATTAGATTGTGGTATATTTTTATTGAACAAAAAGTAGAACTAACACTAGACCTAGAACCAGAAACATTTGTGTTTATCCGTGCGTCTCTTAACTTTTTCCAAGCAAAACTACTCAATGCCTGTACTATTAAGCTATGTCGCATTTTATATGGGACAATGCAAGTGCATAGTAGTTTCGTAACTATGGTTACTACATTCATATATTGCGAGTTATATGAAATTTCCGGTATACAGTAGAGCCCCGATTATCCGCGGAATTGGGTGGCAACTGCGCCGTGGATAATAAAAATCGCGGATAACCCGAAAAAGACTAAAAATAAGGTGGAAACACAAAACATAATTCACCATAAAGACTATTTTAACCTTTCTTCTACATGTAAATCACTAAAGACTAAAGTAAAGACTAGTAATAAACAAAAAATAATATGTACATATGTATTGTATCACTGTACTGTAAACAAAACTGTACTGTAAACAAAAACTGTCAGTTAAATCTTTTTAAAAAAATCGGTCAGTAGCTTTTGCTTCTTGCTTTGGAAGCACCTTTTCTTTATTCTGGATTGTACGTTCCTTAGCATAAGTTTTTCTGCCAGATGTGCGTCGTCTTGCTCCTCTAAATATTGAAGCAATCCGTCTACATGCTGCAAAGCAGTTTCATGTGTCATCCGCGCAAGCACCTCGCCTTCTTCACTTTCAATTTCTTCGTTTTCTTCGTTCACTCCCATTGCTTTGTTTGTTATTTCTACGTCAGATAGTCGTTCAAACCCTGGCTCATTTTTGTCACATTCCAGCCACTCTTCTATGTTTTCTTGATTTACATTCTCACCTCCCGGAAAGGATGTCACTAAGTCAATAAGTGCAGCGATAGGCATGTCTTCATTATGTTCTTCACCAATGTTTTGGTTGACATTTACTTCAATATTTGGAAAGAGTTTTCTCCACGATTTGACGAGGGTTGACGGTTTAATACAATCCCATGCAAACGCAATATCGTAAATGCTATCCAAAATTGTATACATCTTCCATAGCTGCTTAAAATCGTAACCTTCTTCAATTTTTGTTTTTTCCAACTTTGTTCTGTATATCCTCTTC